ACCAACGTCTTTTCAGTGACCTTCAGTGGCTTACATTTCTGTAAGAGAATATACTTATAGGCAGGCTTTCTTATTCTTTCTCATTTGAAAAATATTTGAAAGCTATGGGTTCTTGAATCAAAGCAATCTAAAAGTATTGTTTCTATCCTGATCATCAAAATCACAGAAATTATGTTAGGAAGTCTGTTTTCCTGAGAGTCTTTAGTTTTTAGAAGAATAGAATCTTTTTTTTTTTGAGAGTTTTTTTTTTTTTTTTCACTATAGGGCGCGTGCGCTCGCCAGACAGACAGAGAGAGACAGAGAGACAGAAAGCGAGAAATCACCCCCCAGGGGGGATGGTCACGCCGCAATCCCTTCTCCTCCATTCTCCTCCCGGGATCTTGGGCACGCACGCACACGCGCCCGGCGTGAGTTTTAAGCCACCAGGTCCGGGACACGAACCGCGGTCGACTACGTGGGAGGCCAGCGACATAGCCATTACGCTAACTGCTGGTTCCCCAAGAATAGAATCTTGAAATCTTTCCAGGTAAAGAATACACTACTGATTTCTTGGATTTACATATAAATTTTATATTCGGAAACAAACGTAATGTCCAGCAGCCACTTGTTATTAGAACCTACTACATGGGGGCAAACAGGTGGCATAGTGGTTAAGGTTCCTGGACTCCCAAATAGCCGACCACAGTTCAAGTCCTGGACCTGGTGGCTTGCTTTCTCACTTTCTCTCTCTCTCTCTCTCTCATTCTGTCCCTCTCTGGTCAAATTTAAATAAATAAATAAATAATTAAATAAAATAATTAAAAAAAATAAACCTACCACATGCCTGGGAATAATGCTGGGCTGGAGTTATGATTTATTCCTAAATTCAAGGTTTCCTTAAGTAATTTTTAATATCCATTTGTATAATTTTTAATATCTGTTTGTATAATTGAAGTAAGTGAAATTGAATTGAAATGTAAGGCATAATTCCTTACTTTTTAATTTGTAGCACTGTTAGGTCTTTCTGGATTTCCTTCTCACCTTCTCCACTGCCCCCTGCCTTGCAACTTAGTAAGTGCTTTATGGTTAAATCAGTTCATTTAAAAGTAGAAAATTTGGGGGGACCAGCAGATGGCATAATGGTTAAGTCACTGGACTCCCACGTAGTTGGCCACGGTTCAAATTCCATATCCAGTGCTTGTGTGTGCATGCCCAAGATACCTAGAGGAGAATGGAGAAGAAGGGATTGTAGCATAGCCATCTTGGGGTGGGGGGTGCATTCTCGCTTTCTGTCTCTCTTTCTCTCTGGTGAGTGCATGTGCCCTATAGCAAAATTCTCTCTAAAACAAAATAGGAGATGTTGAGGCCAGCAGGTGGCATGATGTTTAAGACTCTGGACTCCCATGTGGGCAACTGCTGTTAAGAGTCCCAGATCTGGCAGCTTGCTTTCTCACTTTCCCTCCCTTTGTGTCTCTCTGGTAAGCACACATACAAATTAAAAAATAAATAATTCTTTAAAAAGAAATACATAAAAGTAGAACATTTTAGTTAGGCTATGTTAGACGTCTATACAGTTAATCATGTGATTACACTTTTTAGTGATTAAAAAAAATCAAAGGGATGTTCTTTATAATCTGCATCTCTCATCTGCCCTTGCCTTTGTTTTGTAGGTCATACTTTTTAAGGCAGAGGCAGCTTTTGTTGCTTTGACAAACCCTTGCACATCCTTCCCAGTCCAGTCCACAACCTTCAAAGTAATATGTATGGATTTTAGGGTTTTGATCTTCATAACTCTTGTATTTTCTCTCTTATGTGCAATAGCTCAGGAGAAATATTTTTAACGTCTTATAGTTCTCCCAGATAAAAAATGCAGTCATGGGACCAGCAGTTGGCATAATGGCTATGTCACTGGACTCCCATGTAGTCGACCATTGTTCGAGTTCCGGACCTGGTGGCTTAAACTCATGCTGGGTGCGTGTGCATGCGTACCCAAGATCCCGAAAGGAGAATGAAGAAGGGATTGTGGCATGGCCATCCTCCCTGGGGGGTGATTTCTCGCTTTCTGTCTCTCTCTGTCTTTCTGGCAAGCGCACGTGCCCTATAGCAAAAAATGAAAAAAATAAAAATAAAAAAATGCATTCATGACAAGTTTACTAAACACACCCCCAGGTCACCTACTTTTATTTCTTAATGTTAAACCTTATATTAGTCGCCTACATTTTGGACCTCTCTTGGAACTTCTATGGCACATGCCAAAGGACATGTCAATTAGGCAACAATGGGGACACCACAGATGGGGCCCTTTGTCTTTGTGTGTGTAGCTGGGTAGGGTGCTGACTAGTTGCTGGGTTACCCTCTGGTTGGTGGTCAGACGTACCATGGACTCAGAGCAGAAGGCTATTTACAATCCTCTATTTGGGAAATTTAAGCTTGACTATTTTGGATCATGCAGTTGACGCAGCCCAGTCCATCTTCATCTGCAGCAGGCAGGGTGGTGACAGGCATTCTGGAGACACAATGAGTTTTTCACCTAGAAAGACTTCCAGCTTCTGTTCTCTGGAAACTGGCAAGGAGCCTCAGGAAAATAGGCACTGGCATAGTTCTTATGGGTTTTATAGCCAGGTCAGAAACAATACTCCTACTTTGCTTTAGGTTCACTTTTGAAAATGCAGCTTTCACAAACTGTTCAAATGAACAAGTTAAGGAAATATGTCCATTGAAGATTATTAGTCTTGGTGACTTGAGTCCAGCAAAATGGCATAGTTTGGATCTAAGAAAATCAAGTAAAAGGGCGCATTGTTCTGCAGAAAATGCCGTGGTTGGCTTTGATGCTTAGATTTGGAGGTCCTCCAGAGATGCTTCAGTGACACCTCTGTTTTCCTCAGCATCTTCCACAGTGAAAGATAGTTTATGTGACTGAATATGAAGACCATATTTTCTTTTTTAAAAAAAGACAGAGTCTCCCTATATCACAATCCTCCTGTCTTGGTCTCTAGAGTTGCTGGGATTATAGACTCACACCACCATGCTCAGCCTTTGGTTTAGACTGGGACTCGAACCTAGGCCTCCCATGTAGTTCCAGTCTGAAGAGTACTATGTGTACCAACATTGCTGGGCTCTGACAGTCATATTTTCAAGTGAACAAACTGATAACAGGCCTTTTGCTGGCCTAAAAACACAGAATAATCCCAGTATCCCTGGGTCAGAGAAACTTCAGCTTGGTATGATAGGAGTTTGGGTCAGTTCAGGTGCTGAGCCATAAACTAAATATTTCAAGGACAGGAGGAGGCCAGTAATCTTTATTTATTTGTAAGCATTTTTCTTTCCCCACCTGCCAAATCTATTTTTATTTCATAAGCATATTTTATGAATAAAACATGATGAAAAGAAATCAATTGGAAATATCATTGAGAGGAAAATGAATTGTTGGTGTGGAACATCTGATTTCCTAGAGTAGGGGTAATAATCTATTGATATTTTCCAGGAAATAAAGTAGTACACTTAGATGGAAAAAGGGACAAAATTGTACTGAATTAAATACAGAGTTTTTATTCTACTACTAATTTGTAGCAAATTTTATTAAGGAAGAACTAATTGGAAATACATATTAATGTCTATTGTCAAGATAAATTGCATCTTTTAAAGATGAGTGATACTTACGTTTTTTGTATGACCTTTCACATTGGTTTAAATCTTTGGTTAAAAACTGTGCCGGGAGGGACCAGCAGTTGGCGTAATGGCTATGTCGCTGAACTCCCATGTAGTTGACTGTGGTTCCAGTCCCAGACCTGGTGGCGTGGACTCATGCCAGGTGCGTGTGCGTGTGTGCCCAAGATCCTGAGTGGAGAATGGAGGAGAAGGGATTGCGGTGTGACCACCTCCCCTGGGGCGGGTGTGTGTGTGATTTCTTGCTTTCTGTCTCTCTGTTTTTCTGGCAAGCGCACGCGCCCTATAGCAGAAACCTCTCCAAAAACAAAACAAAACAAACAAAAACTGTGCTGGGGAACCAGCAGATGGCATAGCAGTTACATTGCTGGACTCCCACATGGCCGACCTTAGTTTGAGTCCCGGACCCAGTGTCTTGAAAATCATGCTGGGCGCATGTGCATGCATGCCCAAGATCCCAGGAGAAGAATGGAGAAGGGATTGCGATGTGGCCATGCCTCTAAGTGGATGATTTTTCACTTTGTCTTCACTGTCTCTCTCTCTCTCTCTGTGCCCTAAAGCAAAAAGCTCTAACACAAACAAACTGCCCAGCTGATGGTAACTAAACTCACCTCTTACTGTGTGGTAGTTTATACAGTATAGTTGTTTCTATCCCAGACACATCCCATCTGATCTGATAGCAGATTATGAGTTCAGTTGTCAGATTAGCTCCCTGAAGTGCAGAGAAATAGTATGGACCTTTGGGGGCCACTGCCATCTTTATAGAAAGCTTTGCAAAACCAACCAATAAACTTGTTTAATAATAAATTCTTTATTGATAAATTTAGTCAGCATGAATCTAGCTATCTGTTCTAGATGACTGATTTTGTTTTTTAATGTGAAATAACCAAGCCTCAAGAAACAGCTGCTGAAGGGAACTTCCCACCCCCACTCGTAGAAGATGGTGCATTTTAAATTTTTATTTGCCATCATTTGGAGTAACCTCCTGATTCATAATGTTAATAATGTTTTCATTTTATTCTTTTTGATTTATCTGTAGGCTTGCTCTAAGTGACTACCTTATGGAATCAAGACTGTAGTGGATCTTTAGACCTCATGAAATCCAAGTATTTCTGACTTTTACTGCTTGCAGCCCAAACCAGACACTACCTTGAGATACAATTAAAGATTTCAAATCACATTCTGAAACAGTATACCTTTCCTAATGTCCCCAAATATTTGACAACATCCAAAAAACTTGCACACAGTCACTTAGAACTTGGTTAGGATATGTTTTCTATAAGCACCAACCAAATCCTTCTTATTTTCGTGTATAAGTTCTAATTTCTTTTTCTCTCTCTCACTCTCTTTTTTAGGAAGTTTGGAGCTCAAGGGTCACGACTTACTGGAGCAGGATGGGGAGGCTGCACAGTATCAATAGTACCTGCAGAAAAGCTATCCAGCTTTCTAGCAAATGTGCACGAAGCTTACTACCAGAAGAATGATGGAAGCTTAGCACCCCAGAAACAGAGTTTGTTTGCTACCAAGCCTGGAGGCGGGGCTTTGGTTTTCCTTGAGGCCTAAACAATGTAAAAAATCTCAGCAAAGCTATTTAGGGCATTTAGGAACTGGCAGGACTTCCTATGCCACAGTAAATTAATCCTCTTTCTGTTTTGTATTATGATGAACGGTTGCTATTATCAAGATGTACTTCCAAAGAAATGGTTGAAAGCTCTCTATGCTTCATAATTATTACTTTTCCATTTAAAAAAATTTTTTTTAACCAATAAGAGCCAAACTTATGCTTGGACAGATCTTTTAAAGATGACTTACTGAGATTTATTGAAGATTTTAAAGATGAATAGTAAAAAACACTCTTAATATTTCATGGATTAGACTGCTACAATTAAACTGATAAAATTGAATTGCATGCATTATTCTTGAGTACAGCTCATTTCTAGTTTCTCTTCTTGTTCTTCCCTCTCAAAGCTGTAGTCTTCTGTTGATGATGATGACGATGACAGTGTGGTAAGAAATTCTTTCTCAATTTTAGCTTCAACACGCTGTGGAAACAATACATAGTTAGGGATTCACAAATTTTGTTGGACACCATAAGGGACCAGCAGTTGGCGTAATGGCTATGTCGCTGAACTCCCATGTAGTTGACTGTGGTTCCAGTCCCAGACCTGGTGGCGTGGACTCATGCCAGGTGCGTGTGCGTGTGTGCCCAAGATCCTGAGTGGAGAATGGAGGAGAAGGGATTGCGGTGTGACCACCTCCCCTGGGGCGGGTGTGTGTGTGATTTCTTGCTTTCTGTCTCTCTGTTTTTCTGGCAAGCGCACGCGCCCTATAGCAGAAACCTCTCCAAAAACAAAACAAAACAAACAAAAACTGTGCTGGGGAACCAGCAGATGGCATAGCAGTTACATTGCTGGACTCCCACATGGCCGACCTTAGTTTGAGTCCCGGACCCAGTGTCTTGAAAATCATGCTGGGCGCATGTGCATGCATGCCCAAGATCCCAGGAGAAGAATGGAGAAGGGATTGCGATGTGGCCATGCCTCTAAGTGGATGATTTTTCACTTTGTCTTCACTGTCTCTCTCTCTCTCTCTGTGCCCTAAAGCAAAAAGCTCTAACACAAACAAACTGCCCAGCTGATGGTAACTAAACTCACCTCTTACTGTGTGGTAGTTTATACAGTATAGTTGTTTCTATCCCAGACACATCCCATCTGATCTGATAGCAGATTATGAGTTCAGTTGTCAGATTAGCTCCCTGAAGTGCAGAGAAATAGTATGGACCTTTGGGGGCCACTGCCATCTTTATAGAAAGCTTTGCAAAACCAACCAATAAACTTGTTTAATAATAAATTCTTTATTGATAAATTTAGTCAGCATGAATCTAGCTATCTGTTCTAGATGACTGATTTTGTTTTTTAATGTGAAATAACCAAGCCTCAAGAAACAGCTGCTGAAGGGAACTTCCCACCCCCACTCGTAGAAGATGGTGCATTTTAAATTTTTATTTGCCATCATTTGGAGTAACCTCCTGATTCATAATGTTAATAATGTTTTCATTTTATTCTTTTTGATTTATCTGTAGGCTTGCTCTAAGTGACTACCTTATGGAATCAAGACTGTAGTGGATCTTTAGACCTCATGAAATCCAAGTATTTCTGACTTTTACTGCTTGCAGCCCAAACCAGACACTACCTTGAGATACAATTAAAGATTTCAAATCACATTCTGAAACAGTATACCTTTCCTAATGTCCCCAAATATTTGACAACATCCAAAAAACTTGCACACAGTCACTTAGAACTTGGTTAGGATATGTTTTCTATAAGCACCAACCAAATCCTTCTTATTTTCGTGTATAAGTTCTAATTTCTTTTTCTCTCTCTCACTCTCTTTTTTAGGAAGTTTGGAGCTCAAGGGTCACGACTTACTGGAGCAGGATGGGGAGGCTGCACAGTATCAATAGTACCTGCAGAAAAGCTATCCAGCTTTCTAGCAAATGTGCACGAAGCTTACTACCAGAAGAATGATGGAAGCTTAGCACCCCAGAAACAGAGTTTGTTTGCTACCAAGCCTGGAGGCGGGGCTTTGGTTTTCCTTGAGGCCTAAACAATGTAAAAAATCTCAGCAAAGCTATTTAGGGCATTTAGGAACTGGCAGGACTTCCTATGCCACAGTAAATTAATCCTCTTTCTGTTTTGTATTATGATGAACGGTTGCTATTATCAAGATGTACTTCCAAAGAAATGGTTGAAAGCTCTCTATGCTTCATAATTATTACTTTTCCATTTAAAAAAATTTTTTTTAACCAATAAGAGCCAAACTTATGCTTGGACAGATCTTTTAAAGATGACTTACTGAGATTTATTGAAGATTTTAAAGATGAATAGTAAAAAACACTCTTAATATTTCATGGATTAGACTGCTACAATTAAACTGATAAAATTGAATTGCATGCATTATTCTTGAGTACAGCTCATTTCTAGTTTCTCTTCTTGTTCTTCCCTCTCAAAGCTGTAGTCTTCTGTTGATGATGATGACGATGACAGTGTGGTAAGAAATTCTTTCTCAATTTTAGCTTCAACACGCTGTGGAAACAATACATAGTTAGGGATTCACAAATTTTGTTGGACACCATATACTTGAATGTGAGTCTCCCTCCATGATCAAGATGGCAAGGATCTTTTATTTTTGGCAAAAGATGGATTTAGGAAGAAAATTTAAAAATAGTGGCTTAAATGTTAACACCAAACACAATCACTTTCAATTCTTTTGGCCCTGAGCTATCTCTTGCACTTAGTAGAGAATTTAGATGAAAGATACTTCAAGTCTTTCTATATTTATGTTGAAATAAAGGTACTTAGATGATAATTCAGAAAATTCATTTAATTCATGGAATTGATTTTTTCCCATTATAGCCTACCTTTCCTCAAATGCCTCTTCAAACAGTCATGCTGACTGTTCAGGGAACCCCCAGGCATGCTTTGCATTCCTTTTGTATTTGTGCTTAGCAAGGCTTATTTGCATATGCAGACCAGTGTAGGGCAGGCTTATAGGTTTGTGAGTGGGAGTCAGTATGACAAGGTTTACAGTGGATTCCGGGATTGGTCTTTTGTAGACAAACTATAGGAAGCCTTTCTGAATTGCATGGTGATTTAAACCAAAAAGCATGTTGCTGAAATGCTCAGTAGTTTTATGGCATGAATTACCCAGAAGATTGTCATAATTTTCTATTATCGTGTTTGCAAATTAACATGCTCAATTATTGGGCATCATCTTATAGAATCTTAGTTTCAGAGAGGTCTAGGCCACGATGGTTATAATATTTCATAGAGGACAACAGGCATACATATAAAATACTAGGAAATTCAATATTCTGTTCTAAAATTGGACTTGAATTTTTATTCTTAACAGAAAAGTAAACAGTTGAGAAAGCTTAAGTCAAATTTGCTGAAGGAATTTTGAGTTCTTTAAACCAAATAATCCTAAATCTGAACTTGTTTAAATGTATAATCTTTTGTTTTTTAATACCTTGCCATTTTCCACAAAGGATTTGTGGTTGGTATTCCTTTAAAGATATCTGAATCAAGGATCAGCAGAGGGTATAACTGTTATGTTGTTGGACTCCTACATAGTTGACTGTGGTTCAAGTCCCAGACCCAGTGGCTTAAACTTTACGCTGGGTGCATGTGCATGTGTGCCCAAGCTCCTGAGAGGAGAATGGAGGAGAAGGGATTACAGAATGGCTGTCCCCCATGGGGGGTGATATTTTTGCTTTCTGTCTCTGTCTCTCCAGTGAGCACATGAACCCTATAGCAAAAATCTCTCTCAGGAAAAAAAACAATTGATCATTGTAAAAGGAAAAATTGAGCTTATCATTGCTTTGCTGTCTTAGTCAAATTTTTCACCACGTGATTTCTTCCTTGCTATAGGGAGTAAAAATATCCAGTGTGCACTCTGGAACCATTTCAATCCTAGCAGAACTGTGGTGGTGTAGAAATCATTTAAGAGGCACCGATCTCGTCTGCAAAGGATAGGACTGGAGCCATTTAAAAAAAAGGCTTAAGGCAGAAAGTAGACTTTGGGCATGGCTGTAAAGGATGAGTAAAATGAGAAAGCTGCAGCATATGCATTGTAGACAAGGAAAGCATGTAAGCATAGGCAGACATGGTGTGAGGAAGGCTCAGTGGGAATGAAGGTTTGCTTTGATGGGCAGTGAAGAACAAGACTGGCTACTCTGGCCAGTTCTTTTTTTTTTTTTTTTTTTTTTTTTTTGGAGAGGTTTTTCGCTATAGGGAGTGTGCGCTCACCAGCCAGCCAGAGAGAGAGACATAGAGACAGAAAGTGAGAAATCACCCCCCAGAGGGGATGGTCACGCCGCAATCCCTTCTCCTCCATTCTCCTCTTGGGATCTTGGGCACACATGCACATGCGCCCAGCGTGAGTTTTAAGCCACCGGGTCCAGGACGTGAACCGCGGTCGACTACGTGGGAGTCCAGCGACATGGCCATTACGCTAACTGCTGGTTCCCATACTCTGGCCAGTTCTTGAAGAGTTCCAAATCTAGGCAGCATTTAGACCAGGGGCTGCAAACCAGCAGCCCGTGGACCACATTTAGCCTGAAGATGCACTTAGTTTGGCCCAAAGACTGTTTAAAATGTGGGGGTTACGAATCAGGAGATTTTACAGAAAAATCTGGATCACTGATGGTGAGGGATCTGATAACATTTTGGTCTTTGCACCCTCAGGCAACAATGAACTAACTGCCTTGCTAGATGAGGCATGGCTTTTCAATGTGCTAGTTTCCACATCTCCTACAGTTTCGCTGATAACCATTTACCAGCTGAGGTCACGTACCCTCTGCCAGCACATTGCATCATAGTTTTCTTATAGGACATATTTCTCTGGGTCCACGTCTCTAACATAATAGGAAAGGCAGATCAGGAAAAATGGGAGAAAGAATGTTTTTGAGAAAGTAAAAAATAATTCTGTTGATTTAATATAAAACATACAGGTGTTTCACTACTTTTTATTACCCTTTTGGCGTATGTGGAAATTTGATTATTTGACTCCTTTTTGACATTACACCAGTTGCCAATGGGATTGTTTCAGATTTTTGAGTGGGAGCTTCGCATGCTGTAAATAAAAAGTCCTTCTCTTCTATTCCTGACCTCAGACTGTCCAGCCTTTGGGTTTATAGTTTCTATCTGCTCTTGTCTTTTGGAAGAGACCCTTCAGATTTGCCAGGACTGCCTTTAAGGTAAGGAGGAAAAGAAGAAGGGATAAAGAAACTTTCTCTCTCACACGTCAGTCCTGTTTACTTATATTCTGCCTTGATTTCCATTCATTGAAGGTAGAGACTATCTGTCTAATATAGCCATTGGTATCCAATACGCTTTTATTGAATTATTAATGGAAAATAAAATACAGCATCAAACACCAATAATTATCTATTAGTTTGTGATTGTAATTGCATTTGAAGGTTTTCAGTTGTGTAAACTGTCCCTGATCAGAAGCAAAAATGGGGAAAGTGGGCATGTGGTTATCACTAAACATGTAAAGCAGAATGTCTGAAATGTGCATTTGGGTAATTAAGTAACAAGGATATATTCTATTCTGCCACTGTAGCTTGGATGTGAAACCATACATTACTTATAACATATTACCTTACATAGACGGTAAGGGAAATAGAAAGAGAATTCTCAATTATTTTGAGAAAGGAAACATACCATTCTATTTAGGAACTTCTCAAATTCTTTCTCAACTTCATAAGGTTTCTTGGTAGCCTTTATTTGGAGTCTAATCAAGGAATAAAGAAAATCGGTAACCAAACAAATTGCCTTTTTGCTGACACCGTCTATTAGCTGGCTTTTACAGAGTTTAATATGCTGGGCATTTGTATATATGTATTTTTTTTTCTTCTTCTTTTTTTTTTTTTAGAGATGTTTTTGCTATAGGGTGTGTGCACTCGCCAGACAGACAGAGAGAGACAGAGAGATAGAAAGCAAGAAATCACCCCCCAGGGGGAATGGCCACTCCACAATCTCTTCTCCTCCATTCTCCTCTCGGGATCTTGGGCACCCACGCACACGTGCCTGGCGTGAGTTTAAGCCACTGGGTCTGGGACTCGAACTACGGTCGACTACGTGGGAGTCCAGTGATATAGCCATTATGATAACTGCTGGTCCCATTTGCATATATTAATTTAGTCGCCTTAGGGCACCCCAGTGACTTCGCTTATCCAAACAGGCTCAGGAAGGTTAAGTACTTCCTCCCACTACTACCACACAGCCATATGGCTATAAGTAGATGACTTGAACCCAAACATTGCACCTTGAGCCCTCAGTTCCAGCCCCTATGCCACACTCATCCCAGCAGTGAAGCATAAAGCGTCGTCTTTGGTTAAACAAGACGCACAGCATTGCCTCAACTGACTCCACTTACCAGACTCCAGCACAGGCTTTGAGGAGTGACAGTGGGGAGAGAAGAGTAACAGAGATTGGCAAGAGGAAGATGTGGGCAAAAGAGAGACAGAAAAGGCTAACAAGTGTCTCTCAAGGGTGCCTAGGAGACTGGACATTCACAGGGGGCAGAGATCCAGGACTCTGTCATGGTTTCTGTCACCAAGCATTCTTTAAAGAAATGTTTATATATATGACTGTATTCAGAAGGCAGCAAGATCTGATGATGAGGGTATAGGCTGAGGTAGCTAGGCAAGGCAGGGTAGGAACTAGGACAAGGAAAAAATGTTATTAGTAGTGAAAGAAACAGATGAGAGAAAGAAAAATGAAAAGGAATATGTAAGGTTATTAATTAAACTGGCAATTTTCAAATGAAACATTTCAACTTTTTTTTTTTTTTCATGAAATTGGTAGGAAGTAGAATTTTCTGAACATTCCAAATATACTGTGCTGAGCCATCCTAACCCTGGCAAAGACTGTTCCAGGTTCCTTCAGTATTTAGTCTCGGGTACTGCTGTGGGCACACAGGAAGCTGCCTGGTTAGAGGCTTCTCACAAAGTGCTCTGAGACTGACACATCCCCCCACCTATTCTCTGTCTCTGCTGATTTTGTGGCCTCAACCTGGGTTTTCTTTTCACTTTTTGTTAGCCTCTGGATTTCATGCTATTCTCAAATCTAGCTCTTACAATGCATAATCCTATCTAATAGACTCTAAAATATCCTGGTACCTTTCTCAACAGCACCATCTTAAAATCTCCTTGAGTTGCCTGTTATTCTCAACCCATTTCATCTCACTGTGTTAAAATCAACCATCTTTGGACTTATCCTTTTAATTTAAAATACCTCCTCTATTTAAAAAAAAAGTTTTTTTTGAGATATGTCACATGCCATAAAATTCACCGTTTTAAGGTATATGACTCAGTGATTTTAGTATATTTGTAAAGTTTTGCAATCATTATCATTATCTAATCTCCCTTTCTGATCACCTTTCTTTTCCATGAATACTCTTTTTTTTTTTTTTAAGATTACAGATGGAAGCTTATACTCTGGGTATAAATGTAACAGGCACTTGAGGTTTAAATATCCAAATGAGTATCTGCCTCTTTACTTTCTCTAACTGCATGTCATTGCATAGAATATATCTGACTGGTTGGTGTTACCTTAGGAAGTGTTCTACATTTCCCTCATATTCTCAGTAGATAGGATTTTTGGAAACTCGTTAGAGTCACCTGGGATCAGACCTTATAATTTAGGTGGTGTAAAGGGGAATGCAGGATAATAAGGTTTTTGGTGAAAAATGAGATAAAATGCTAAAGTAATAGGTCAGATTTTCTCGTGGGACTAGGAAACTAGCTTTGTAAGTTCTAAAATAATATTTAAAAGATGGTAGTGTGATTGTCACAAAGATACAGTTTCCCAAGAGGGCTTGTTTGAAGGGCTATACTTGTCTGACACTTAGTCTTGTTCATGTGGGTGTGTGGGAAGAAGTGGGTTTGTTTCAGTATTATATATTAGGTTGTCAAGGAAGTCATGACGTATTTTTCTGTGGTTTTCTATGCAAAAATCTATCACGACTTTCCTGATGACCCCATAGTTTTCCTTTTTATACTCTAATTTATAAACTAAATTAAAAGAGCCCAGTTTTCCTTGCTTTGTTGGGTGGAGGGTGGTGTTTGTAGGTGTAGGGGAAGGAGCAAGGGCAGACGGGGAACATGAATCAGATAAATAGGGAAGTAGGCTATTTTTCTAGTTTACATCTTCACTAGGGCAGGGCATGGTTATGAGTTTATTTTTAAAAGGTTTGAACTTAAGTCATATGACTGGAAGGGTCACAATATTGAGTTGTCAGAAGTCATGGTGTATCTTTCTCCTTTGCTATGCAAAAACGCGTCATGACTTTTCTAATGACCCAATAGATTATGATAATGTTCAGTAATTAATTAAATGAACAGAATAGGTAATTTTGTGCATAAAGTGTTATTCTAAATTAACTGTTAAGTAGAAACCCTCTTTGCAGCTATTCCAGTTGATGTATTTTTACATAATAAGCCCATTGTGGTTTTATGTTACACATTTGTTCAATTAAAAATGATTTTAAGCACTACAAACTTGAAAAAGAAACAAACCTATCAAGTTCCCTGTCAATTATTTCCTGCTGCTGTCTTAGGAGTCTTATTTCTTCATTGATTCTGTGCTTTTCCCTATAAAAAAGTCAAAGTTTGGAGTTAAATTTTAAAATAAAGCAGGCATTCCTAATAGGGAAAGAATAAATCCACAATTTGCT